TCGATCTGCGAAACTGGGAACCGAGGACATGTGTCAACCAAGCCAGCGAACCTGACCACCGATTCCGTTACTCGCCTCTTACGACAAGCATGGGTTACTGAATATCAATATTCTAATCTAGAAATTCACGGCTTACATACTCAGAGGGAACATATATACGTACACAGGGATCTGCACATGTACAAAGGTGAAACTGTATACATATTCAGAGGGAACATGTGTGCGTATATGGGGATCTGCACACATACACATGTGATCCTGTATACATACTCAGAGGGAACATATATACGTACATAGGGATCTTCACATGCACATAGGTGAACCTGTATACATACTCAGTGGGAACATATATATACGCACAAAGGGATCTGCACACGTGCACAGGTGAACCTGTGTATATACACAGAGGGAACATATATACATACTTTGGGATCTGCTTAGGGATCGTACTTAGGGGCGTGGTGGGCGAGCTGGCTAAGGCGCCAGGCTAGTGATCCAGCGGGCATGAGGTGCCGGGATCGAGCCCACCTGTGACCGGGTGTAAAAACCCTGGAGTCAACTTTGTGTGCAGACTCTTTCCGTGTTGTCACAACCCCTAGTGTGCAGTACACAACCCTGTGCACTTAAAAGACCCACGAATCCGTTGGTATATGACCAGATGGTGGCCACATGAATACGTGCAAACACCTAGTTGCGGGTACAGCAACGTGCATTAAACTTGGACAAGTACTGTGACTATGTGTCCCCCTCCACCCAGCTGTAAATGGGTACCTCGTAAGGATGGGAAAGCCGCAATAACTCGGTGCGCCAGCAAGAGTTGTATGCTCCCCAGGGAGATTGATTTGATAATACGATGTGCTGTTGAGATTGACATCTAATGATCGAGGGGGGAAAATACCAGCGCCTTGAGCATGCACTATTGCGTGGATATGTGCGCTATATAAATATCCAAGAATACTACTACTACTACTACTAATAATAATAATAATGCACACTTAAACAGGTGAACCTGTAAACATATGGAGAGGGAACATATATACGTAGTTACGCACATTAGTACACACAGGGATCTGCACAAATAAAGATATGAAATTGTATGCATTCTCAGTGGAAATCCCTGGTTTTACACATTCCCTGTAACATATATATACGTACATAGGTATCTGCACACGTAAACAGGTGAACTTGTATGCGTACTCAGTGGAAACATATGTACGTACATAGGGATCTGCACACGTAGGAAAAGAAAAAAATGAAAGAAAAAAACTGTATTACCCTGAATGGGAATTTGCTGTACATCATCACAGAGCACACATATGAATATAGGATGAATAATATAAATATAAGAGCGTTTGTCACAGGTAAAAGTACTGTACATAAATCATTCAACACAGATTAAAGATATGCAGGTAAAACAGTTATGATTAATATAACAACAATGTCCATATACAGGTAAAGATTAGATTTGTATGTAAACAAACACCATTTATTTTTTAAAAAGCCGATGCTGGACGGGATGAACGATTTCAGGGCTCTGTTTCATTTAAATTTTGGAATTTGGAAACGTCTGCCAGATGGTAAAAGTTTATATTCTGTGTTTACAATGTGTGAGGAGTCATGTAAGATTCTATTTGCCAAAGTTAAAACTCTTTCCTCATACACGTAAGCCAAAGGGGGCCGGTGGGGTAGCCTAGTGGTTAAAGCGATGGCTCGTCACGCCGAATACCCGGGTTCGAATCCCCACATGGGTACAATGTGTGAAGCCCATTTCTGGTGTCCCCCGCCGTGATGTTGCTGGAATATTGCTAAAAGCGGCGTAAAAACCAAACTCAGTCAGTCTGTCAGTAAGCCAAAGGGTCGAAATCCACAATTGCGATTTTACTGCTTAATGTTACGATTTTGATGAGTTTGTTTCGGTTTTGAACTGACAGGGATCCATACCAGCATTGGATTGAGAAGGTTAAGACACTTTTTTTTAATAAAACTACGATAAAACAGCGAAAGAATAGTTTTGTCAACATTAAAAGAGCGAAATATAAACGTTGTTGACCTTTTATGTATAGAGCATTTGTATTATCATTCCTATTCAATTTGTCATCAATTGTTGTACCAAGATATTTGTAGTTCTTAACAATTTCAACATCTGAACCATGGACAATGACTGGTAAATGCACAGGCTTACTTGTTCTGAAGTCAATTATCATGTCTTTAGTTTTAGACACATTGAGCTCTAAGTGATTGTCTTTACACCAGCTTGTGAGATTCACGATTTCCTGTCTGAAGGCGTCCTCGGTGTTGGTCAACAGGCTTACAAGAGCTGCGTTGTCAGCAAACATAACTATAGAGCAATCATCATGCTGGCTAACAAAGTAATTTGTGTACAATATGAACAACACCGGTCAGATTACGCAACCCTGTGGAGCTCCAGTGTTGGTGATCAGTGTCTCTAAGTGATATGTGTTCACTCTAACAAATTGTGGTCTTTCAGTTACAAAGTTTTCAATCCATAACAAGAGGTTAAAATTCACATTCATAGATAACAGGTTTTCCAATAAAAAGATGTGGCTGAATTGTGTTAAAAGCAGATGCGAAGTCACCAAATAAAATGCCTACATAGGATCGTGGCTTTTCCAAATGTTTATATACATTATTAAGAATAGTTAGTGTTGCATCCTCGACTCCGCGCTTGGAGCGGTAGGCGAACTGTAACGGATCGAACTGTTCTGAGATGTTATTGAGTAGAAATTGCAGCACGTACACAGGTGAACCTGTATTCATACTCAGAGGGAGCATATTTACGTACACAGGGATCTGCACATGTGCACAGGTGAACCTTTATACATACTCAGAGGGAGCATATGTACGTACACAGGGATCTGCACATGTGCACAGGTGAACCTTTATTCATACTCAGAGGAAGCGTATGTACGTACATAGGGATCTGCGCACGTACACAAGTCAACCTGTATTTATACTCAGATGGAGCATATGTACGTACACAGGGATCTGCACATGTGCACAGGTGAGCCTTTATACATACACAGAGGGAGCATATGTACGTATATAGGGATCTGCACACGTACACAGGTGAACCTGCATTCATACTCAGAGGGAGCATATGTACGTACACAGGGATCTGCACATGTGCACAAGTGAACCTTTATACATACTCAGAGGGAGCATACGTACGTACACAGGGATCTGCACATGTGCACAGGTGAACCTTTATACATACTCAGAGGGAGCATATGTACGTACACAGGGATCTGCACATGTGCACAGGTGAGCCTTTATACATACTCAGAGGGAGCATATGTACGTACACAGGGATCTGCACATGTGCACAGGTGAGCCTTTATACATACTCAGAGGGAACATATGTACATACAAAGGGATCTGCACACGTACACAGGTGAACCTGTATTCATACTCAGAGGGAGCATATGTACGTACACAGGGATCTGCACATGTGCACAGGTGAGCCTTTATACATACTCAGAGGGAACATATGTACGTACACAGGGATCTGCACACGTACACAGGTGAACCTGTATTCATACTCAGAGGGAGCACATGTACGTACACAGGGATCTGCACATGTGCACAGGTGAACCTTTATACATACTCAGAGGGAGCATATGTACGTACACAGGGATCTGCACATGTGCACAGGTGAACCTTTATACATACTCAGAGGGAACATATGTACGTACACAGGGATCTGCACATGTACACAGGTGAACCTGTATTCATACTCAGAGGGAGGTGAGGGATCTGTATACATACTGAGAGGGAACATATGGAGCACATGCGTACACACATGTGCACAGGGAACCTTTATCTGCACACATGTACATAGGTGAAAGTATACATACTCAGAGGGAACATATGTACATACGTATATATACGTACACAAGGATCTGCACACGTACACAGGTGAACCTGTATACATACTCAGAGGGAACATATGTACGTACACAGGGATCTGCGCACGTGCACCGGTGAACCTGTATACATACTCAGAGGGAACATATGTACGTACACAGGGATCTGCCCACGTACATAGGTGAACCTGTATACATACTGAGAGGGAACATATATACGTGCATACATACAAACGTACACACAGGGATCTGCACACGTAGACCGATTAACCTGCATATATATACTCAGAGGTAGCATGTATGCCAACGCATGAATTTTGACTTTTCAAATGATTTACGTTGTGGTTTTGGAGGGGTTAAAATTGCCAAAACAACAGGTACGTACTTTCACTGTACGTCAGTTTACTTAATTTGCGATTAAATATGAACGAATATGGCTTTGAATTTCCTTTGTGAAAATGCACCTTAAAAACCACTAATAATTAGGACAAGTACGTTTATCGCCCTCGTGTACCATAAACACTGATTCTATATAAAATCACCAATTGGCAAAACGCAATTGCCCAAATTAACGAGGTCGGTGACGCAGGTTCACAATGACATTACCAACACTAATGACTTCAACGTTTGGCCACATAAACGTACAATAGCTTTACATAGATTGTGAGCCACATATAGATAAGCGTTATCTCCTGTGATATATATTCTATCACACGCGTATCAGAGATTTTATCAACAAATGCTTCATTCTTTTACGTGATATATTTTATGGCATATTGATTCTGTATGATAACGGCTATATTCTTTATCATCTTCAGCAGAATCACCACTGCCGCCGCCGCCCCGCCATCATCATCATTATCATCATCACCACATCAATCTCCGCAAATCAGAATTAGCATCAACACAACGTGTGCAATATATGGAGATGTCACGAGCCAGCACTTAAACTCTTTGAATCTCCAGTGTCGACAACAATGATAAGGTGAGTGGGTTTCTCTGCAACACGAACATTTCTGAGTTTTTTTCTGCATTCTCAGTTTTTTCTCAAAAGTAACCACTAGCCTTCGAGGAATTATTGATATGTTTGTGATTATTAAATAGCAGTAATTGGAACAGAACAGAAAAGAGCAGGATTTTATTTCAGTAACAGGCCTCCGGCCCAAAATACATATGCATAAATTGATGGATAATTAGAGCACATGTAATGTATTTCATTCAGTTTTTCTTGTCAACAACGTATAAAAATAGACATTCATCTTTGATGATATTAACAGTTTTACTCTGTAATATACATATATAATGTCATTTATCTTCAACAACGAAGATACCATTTAATTTACAAAACATGCAATGCCTTTCAGCATATGGAACATTAATGTATCTACCAGTTGAAAATTACAACACAGAAATCGTCCATATATAATTTTTAAATATTGAGGGATATCATTCTGTACCAAGTAGCTCTCTACATTTCATAAAGATTTGTATTGCTTATAGTAAAACATTTATGGCTGCTATCCAAAGATGATTTGCCAAAGTGGGAAAAAGTATCAGTAATGTCTGTTTAAATCTTTTTATAATTATTTTGCGATCACCAAATCCCTGGCTTATCCAACCAAATTGAAAAAGAATAATTTTAATTCTAGTTGCCCATGAATTTCGTCCTACCCTGTCTAGAGATAATAGCATAAAATAACATTGTTTAGGTAATCTATAGCCAGGCATGTTTAGAAGTCTACACCAGTATTTCACTGCACTGGTTGTATAATAAACTGTAAAGGCACTCTTCCACATTCACCCAAGGCCATATTGTTACAGGTGGATTTTCTAAGTTTCAAAACATATTTACAAAATTTAATATGGACTGATTCAATAGTATTACAGTAGGATGTGCCCCATATTTCAGACCCATAACATAGGATAGGTGATATCATACAATCAAAAATCTTAAATAAATATGTACAATTAATGCTGCCAAGTTGCCTTTGGATATTTTTAACAGAGAATATTGCCTTATTAGCTTGTGATGCAAGACAAGATGGAGCTTTACTCCAGGGTAATTTAGGAGTGAACATAATTCCAAGGTACTTGCAAAATGATACAGTGTCAATAACATTACCATTATAAAACCAGTTTTCATATGAGCGCAAGGAACCACCATTTCTAAACACAATAATCTTGGTTTTCTTTAAATTCATGCTCATACCAGTTTGCTCACAATTGTTTTCCAAGTACATTAATCTTTTTTTTGCAACTGTGCACAGGTGTCAGCTATTGCTGACACATCATCAACAAACATAAGAGAACAGAGATAGCTAATAGAAGAATAAACTGTAATACCTTGACCTCCTTGAACTCCGTAAGACTCCATAACCTATTTATGAATATAATAAAGATCTGAGGGCTCAAAACACAGCCTTGACGAGTAACGATTTTACAAGAAAAACTATTTGATACACCCTTAGATGTCCTGACTGAAGCTGATAAAGAACTATACATAGAAGTTAACAGCATAAGAAACTTACCTCTTATACCAGCTTCACAAAGTTACTTTAGAAGAACATCAGTATCAAAAGCCTTGTGAAAGTCTACAAAGAGACAGTAAAATCTACCCTTTTTTGCTAACATATTTTTTAATTAAGGACTGCAATGAAAAAAAAGGTCAATCGTTGAATAATCAGCCCTGAAACCAATCTGTGATTCACTGATAATATCATGATCCTCACACCATCTTTGAAGGCGACAATTAAGAATAGTGAGTGAGTGAGTTAATATTCAACGTCACTGTGAGTAATCCTGTTTAAAATATTGTTCTAAGTCTGAACAAACACACATTGCTCACAGCTATTATTTATAGTGACAGTGCTTGACTATATATATCCAACAAATGTGAAGTGTTGAAAAGACATCAGACTTTGCTCCAACTGGTGAATAGCGGCCAGTATAAAAACTGTGGGATGCACTTTTGTTATTATTTTCTATCATAAACACCTGAAAGTATATTCAATTTCAGGAAACGTGAACTTATTTAGTACGCCGATTGGCAAATGATAGTGGATATTCATTTTCTGTTACTTCATGGAGAAAGATTGTGCCGCTTTGAAATATTCTAATTTGAACAGTATCAATGCTTTCGTTTGGATTACACTATCAGGACTAAAGATCTTTACCAAGCGAGTAATTCTAACTGCTTAAATTGTGTTTACATTTAACTTCGATAAGATATCTATATTCACTGACAGTGCTCACGTAACTGTAGGGATCATGTGACTTTACTGATCACGTGATGAAGGAAAATGGCGGAAGTAACACAGTGTAAACAAAAGGTATTTCACTGAGCGGTGTTGAAGCGTTTTATTATGTTATGCGAACTACGTACTTATATTTGTTGGATATGATTTCATCTATGGAATTCTGAAAGGGCATTTAGGGAAAAAAAATTACATTTGACTTCGATAGTGGGTAGACTACACTCACCGACAGTGCTCACGTGACTTCAGTGATCATGTGACTCTATATGTGACGTGAAGAAGGAAAATGGTGGAAGTAACGCAGTGTAAACAAAAGATATTTCACTGATCGGTGTTAAAGTGTTTCTTATTTTATGTGAATTATATACGTACATTTGTTAGATACGATTTCATTTATGAAATTCGCCTGAAGTTGGTATTTAGTGAAAAAAGAGTGGAGAGTATGTAGCTTCTACTTGACTGTTACCCATAGAGGTCCATTTCCTAGTACTGTTTGATATATTTTGCATCTTCATGTTTTTGTTACTCAGTAGTTCCCAACTGGTACACACAAAAATCCCAGCAATAATATTATGTACAGGGTAGAAAATAAGCATTATGCAGTGTATATGAAAAATATCTGTATATCCTTATTTATAGACATAAAATATAATATAGAACATGACTGAAATGGAAGGTAATAAAAAGTTCAAGATTTTATCTATGAACTGTAGGGGATTAAACAATGCACTGAAGAGAAAAAAGGTTTTTCGGTTTTTAAGGAAGAACAAAGCCCAAATATTCTGCTTACAGGATGTCCACTTTACCAGAGATCAGGAACAATTGATAAAACAGCAATGGGGCTATAAAGAATGTTTTATTGGCACTTACAAAAGCAATGCAAGAGGGACAGCTATCTTGTTTAATAATAACTTTGAATTTTCAGTCTTAAATACTACATATGATAATAAAGAAGGAAACTTTGTGGGGTTAAATATAAAAATAAATGAATTTATTTATACTCTGTTCAATGTATATGGCCCTAACCAGGACAAACCTGAATTCTATAAACATGTGAAGGAAAGGGCAGAAGAGCTAGCAAATAAGAATGACACTGACAAATTTATTTTTTGCGGTGATTGGAATTTAGTCATGGATAGCGATATGGATACATATAATTATAAACACATCAATAATCCTGGGGCTCGGAAAGAAGTATTAGAAATTGTAGATATAATGAACCTCAAGGATCCCTGGAGGGAAATGCATCCGAGTAGTCTAAGATTTACCTGGCGACAACCCACACATATTAAACAAGCACGTCTTGATTTTTTTTAGTTTCACACAATATAATGAACGCAGTTCACGAAACGGAAATAATTCCTAGTATATGTACAGATCACTCAATTATATCCATAACATTAACAACAACAGAGTTAAGCAGGGGGAAAGGGTTTTGGAAATTTAACAACTCTCTCTTAAAAGATAAAGAATACATAAGAAAAGTTAAAGATACAATAGGTAATGTAATAAATCTTTATAAAACACCAGAGAAGGGTGAAAATACATACGCTATTAATGATCAGCTGCTTTGGGAAATGATTATAATGGAAATAAGAGGAATTACTATCTGGTACTCAGCTACAAAAAGGAAAAAGAGTAAGGAAAATGAACTACGGCTAGAAAAAGACATTGAGAAATTAGAAATACAACTAGATGAAAGTAGTCACTTGTATGAAAAAGAAGAACTAGTAAAAAGAATTAATGAAGCCAAAGAAAAGTTAGAAGAAATTAATTTATTAAAAACCAAAGGTTCCTTTGTAAGGTCAAAAGCTAAATGGATAGAGCAGGGAGAGAAAGCAAGTAAATATTTCCTACATATGGAGCGCAGAAATTTCCTTAATAAATCTATAAATCAAATTGAAACAAAAGCTGGAAATGTAATTAAAAAACAGGAAGAAATATTAGAAGAAACTAAAAACTTCTATAAAAAATTGTATACAAATGAAAGTTGTAGTGAAATTGACTTAGAAGAAACAGTGGGAAAATATGAAGTACCTAAATTGTCTGAGTGTCTCTCAAGTTCACTAGAGGGAGAGCTAACATACGAAGAACTTCTGTTAGCATTGAAAAAAATGAAAAATGAAAAAAGCCCAGGACCAGATGGTATTACATCTGAATTCTTAAAATTTTTCTGGAATGACTTGAATAAGTACCTTTTAAGTTCTCTTAACTATGCTTATAAAGTAGGATCCCTATCAGTAACTCAAAAACAGGGTTTAATTACATGCTTGCCTAAGGATAACAAACCAAGAATATACCTCAAGAATTGGCGACCAATATCACTGTTGAACACTTCATATAAATTGGCATCGGCAGCCATAGCTAATAGAATTAAAAAAGTCTTAGAGTTGTTAATAAATGAAAACCAAAAGGGATTTGTGTCAGGCAGATATATAGGGAAGTCACTAGAAGTATATATGATTTAATGGATTATACTGATACATTTCAGATTCCAGGATTATTATTACTTATAGACTTTGAAAAAGCGTTTGATTCAGTAGATAGAAAATTTATGATAAACGTATTAAGATTCTTCAATTTTGGAGAGAGTATCCAAAAGTGGATTTCCACTTTTTTTACAGATATTGAATCGAGTGTGTTAGTCAATGGTTTCGCAAGCACCTTTTTCCCAGTTACAAGGGGTTGTCGTCAGGGAGATCCGATATCGCCATATATTTTTATATTGTGTGTTGAAATATTGGCTATATTGATAAGAAATGAAAAAAATATTAAAGGTATTAGAATGGGCAATATAGAACATATTTTAGAACAATTTGCAGATGATACTACTATGTCTTTGGATGGGTCAGAGAAAAGTCTGTATGCAGTTATGAATATTCTTCACTTTTTTGAAAGATTTTCTGGACTTAAGGTTAATGTTGAGAAGACTAAATTAATTTGGATTGGGTCAAAAAAGAGATCTAGGTATAAGCTCTGTGAAGAGTGGAATTTGGATTGGAGTCAGACACATTTTAAATTACTGGGGATTAATTTCAGTGTAGATTTAGAAGAAATGGTAAACTTAAATTATAAAGAGAAATTTAAAAATATTGAAAAAGAAATGAAACAATGGTCAACTAGACATTTAACGCCTATGGGTAGAAATACTATTTTGAAATCTTTACTACTACCTAAAATGAATCACTTGTTTGCCTCTTTACCTAACCCTCCAGACGAACAGCTAAATAGTTTTCAGAAGAAATGTTTTAACTTCATATGGCGTGGTAAGATAGATAGGGTCAAGAGAAGTGTCATGACACAACCACCTAAATATGGAGGAATTAAGGTACCTGATGTTAAATCAACTATATTATCACAAAAACTATCATGGATAAAAAGACTTCACAATAAGTCATATTGGGTCAAACATGCTGGAACTTTTATCCCAGGAATAGATACCCTATGGTTGGCGGATTGTTTATATATGAACACTACTTTATTACCATACATTACAAATACTTTTTGGAGGGATGTTGTATCGGCATGGGGTTTGTATCTATCCAAATGCTATGATAAGATTACAAATATGTCAGACATAAAGACTCAATCATTATGGTACAACTCTAATATCTCTATTGGTGGCAAATGGGTTGAATATAGGCACTGGATAGGAAAGGGTATACGTTTTATTAAGGATATGTTCAATGAAAAGGGAGAAATCTATTCCTTTAACAAACTTGTAGAAACATATAATTTAGAAACAAATTTTATCCTATATCAAGGGCTCAAGTCAACAATATCGAGATACATTAAAAGATGTCTGATTAAGGATTACAAAGAAAGGATATATGATCCTACTCTCCCATTTAATGTATACAGCATAATCAATACACAAAAGGGTAGTAAAATGTTTTATCAGATTTTATTTGCTCCAGACTTCAGTACAGATGCACTGGAAAAATGTCAAAAGTGTTTGAATAGAATAATTGATAGAACAGAACAAGAAAATATTAATCTGATGCCTTATAGATGTACTGAGAGTGTGAATATGAGATGGTTCCAATTTAAAATAGTGAATAATATTTTAGCAACAAATAGCTTCTTGTACAAGATAGGAATATCTGAATCACATTTATGTACATTCTGTGGACAAGATTCAGAAACCATGTTACACCTGCTGTTCGAATGCTTTCATGTGAAAAAGATATGGAAGGAAGTAGAAAAATGGCTTAGAACTGTTTCAGAGGGTGAAATGAAATTTTCTCTAGAGAATATTATATTTGGATTTAAAGGCAAACACAATAATCCATTGAATGCTGTAATCTTGGTGGTTAAAGAAGCTATCTATAGAAGAAGCAGAAAAAAGCAAACTCTGAATATTAGACATATTAAAGCAGAAGTCATCAAATATTACGAAGCAACAAAAATGATAGCTTTTTCAAATTGTAATTATGCCAAATTTTTTAGCTTCTGGTCTTCCTTCCATACATTATTTGCCAATAATTAAACTTTTATCAACAGATTTGTGTAACATGTAAACACTTTATATACATGCTTAGTTTGTCCATTTACCTATTTGTGAACAGCATGAGATTTGACAATGCGATCAAGGAAACACTACTTGTATACTATGAGGCCACTTGTACTGTACTGTAATACTGAGGTAAAGGTAAGATCTGTAAACATGTAACACTCATATACATGCTTAGTTTGACCATTTTACATATTTATGTACTATGAGGTTACCTGTATTGTACTTTACTGTACTCCTGAGATAAATTCTGTAAACATGTAAATACTTCACATACATGCTTAGTTAGACCATTTTGCATATTTGTGAACAGCAGGGTGTTACAGTAAGTGACAAAGGAAACACTGTGTACAACGAAACTATTTGTACTGTACTGTGTACTACCGAGTTAAAATCTGTAAACACGTAACACTTCATATACATGTTAAGTTTTTGACCGTTTTTTTTTTTATATACATGTGAACAGCATCTTATTTGACAATGAGATCAAAGAAACACTGTAATAGCATACTAAGAAGCTACCTGTACTGTACTACTGAGGTAAAGTCTGTCAACATAATTCTGGGAATAAAAACATGAAAAGAGAAAAAAAATAATATATTCAACGTCACGATTAAGATCACTATCCTCATCTGAAAGACAAGACCCATCTTATGATTGGTAGTGATTGGTTAGATTTGTGATTATTGATGAGTAGTCATTGGTTAGATTTGTGATCATTGATTAGTGGGTGAGTGAGTGAGTGAGTTTTACGCCGCCCTCAGCAATATTCCAGCTATATGGCGGCGGTCTGTAAATAATCGAGTATGTACCAGACAATCTAGTGATCAACAGCATGAGCATCGATCTGAGCAATTGGGAACCGATGACATGTGTAAACCAAGTCAGCGAGCCTGACCACCCGATCCCGTTAGACGCCTCTTACGACAAGCATGGGTTACTGAAGGCCAATATTCGAACCTGGACCTTCACGGGTCCATGACAGAATTCACTGATTAGTAGTGATTGGCTAGGTTTCTACTTATGATTAGTAGTGATTGGTACGTTTTGTGTTTATTGATTAGTAGCGATTGGCTAGGTTTGTGGTTATGATTAGGAGTGAATGGGTAGGTTTGTGATCATTGATTAGTAGCGATTGGTTACTTTTCTGATTATGATTAATAGTGATTGGATAGGTTTGTGATCATTGATTAGAGGTGATTGATTACGTTCGTGATTATTCAGTAGTAATGATTGCGTAATAATGACGTCTTGTGTTGTGAACATTATAGAGGTGTACATTATTTCGCTGTGGCAAGTTCGTATATTCTAAGATGTAGAACGTTAACGTTCGCAATGTTTACATTCCCACAATGCAATCGTGGAATGTCGCTTGACTACTTAGCTTCATCTGGATGTCACTTATCTAAACTTACGTTGGTAGTAGAAATGCGACGTTCATATTGCCCCATGTTGTTTACGTTAATTACATATTTAATTAAAATAATTTAGAGAAGACTTTTTTTCGGAATGTAAACCGTCATCAAACTGTTTATCATTTTGGGTTTTTTCTGTGAACGTTCGTCTTAACGTAGGGGGGCAGACACGTCAATAGAACAGCGCGTCAGTTAGCCCTGTGCGAGGATTCTCAATTTAGGTCACCGACACCCGTCGTTTGTTTTCTGCCTTAAATTTTTCGTAATTATCCTTAGAAAGTATTAAATTTAGAAAAGAAATACTGTTCGCTCTACCACATGTACAGTGTAATAAAGCACACTTTCGCCCTGAACTATTATAGTTAAAGTACGAGGACGCTTAAATCAGTTGACTGTGACCTTTGGAAATTGGACATACCTGAAAAACGTTAAGCACACTGCCACACCGTAAGTCGTCTTTCCATGATAATCAATGATTATAATCTATTATCAATTTTGGTATTTTTTTCAATTTTAACTACTGGTCGACCTTACCCCATAAATCACCATAGAAAAAAAAGCCATTGATTAGTTGCGATTGGTTGCGTTTCTGATTAGTAATGATTGGTTAGGTTCGTGATTATGATTAGTAGTGATTGGTTACGTTCCTGATTAGAGGTGATTGGTTAGGTTCGTGATTATGATTAGTAGTGATTGGTTAGGTTTGTGATCCTGAAACGATAGCACCATGCAACATCAATCTATTATTGATTACAGGTAGCAGAATATGCAGTATGAGCTTGCAACATTTTACCGTTTACGCCGTATGATGAGAGTAATTTCCGGAGTCTATCTCTATTTACAAAATCAAAAGCTTTTTTAAAATTAATGAACACAACGTATATGTTTTTCCTTCTTCTACAGAGAGTTTTTTCGATGATAGCATACAATGTGAAGATATGGTCAACAAGTGAATAGCCCTTCCGAAAACCAGCTTCAGTTTCAGAAACGTTATCCATAACATTTGCCCATTTTGTTAATCTTTCATTTAAAACACAAGTTATATTTTCCCGAGTGAACTGAGTAAAGATATCCCTCGGTAATTATCGGGAATATTTCCATCACCCTTTTTGTGCAAAGGAACTATAATTGCTTTACTCCACACTTGTGGAAAACAACCATTTAAAAATATTTTATTGAACATTGCCACTAAAATAGGGCATTATTTTAGATTCGCTTGTTTTAATCATTTCTATAAGGACGTTATCAATACCTGGACATTTACCATTTTTCTATGCTGTATAGCCTTGTAAATTTCTTCTTCCGTTATAATGGATTCAAGTATCTCCTTATCAACTTCACTCATTTCGACAGATTGGTCTAAACTGAGTAGTACATCTGGTTCAGTTACATCTCTCCCATTGAAAGGTTCGTAAAAATTATGGTACCATCTTTCTTTAGTTATATAATTCGTATAGGATTTTAGCTTTGAAAATTTTCACAGCTCAATCCAAAATACAGTGGAGTTGTTCCTTGCTAGGTATAGTTTATTTGTTTTGTGGTATTGGTATTTACCTTTCCACTGTCTACATGAACTTTTATGTTTATTTCTAAGTCTACAATACTTGGTTTTACACACTGAAGTTCTGTTTCGTCTAAATATACGTAAACTGCGTTTAGCTTCTTCTTTTGCCTTATGACACTCTGGTCCATAAAAAGTGAAAACTTTCGGAATAGCAGTCACGCTCTTTTGCATAGTCTGCAGCATCAAGTAAAAATCTTACAAATGACTCTATTTCTTCTTTGATTGGCATTCTAGAAGTTGGGTAGATGAAGAATGAGGACTATTTTTATGGATATACAACTTCTTTATTCTATATAGGCGACGTTTCGACATAGATGCTAATGTCACCACTTGCTTGACAACGGCATTAGAATCTATGTCGAAACGTCGCCTATATAGGATAAAGAAGTTGTATGTCCATAAAAATAGTCCTTACATCAATCAATCTTTATTTCAGTACTTAAAAAGGCCACATGCTTGTAGTACATTTAGAGTTTACATGAGTAGATAGAAGTCATTTATAAATTCTTTTCTGCAACAATACTTTTTCTTAATCTCATAGCGAAATAGATGTACATTGCCAGATTCTGTAATATTGATGTGGTAGTATCTGTTAATAGTGAAATTAATGTTCTTACACTTGGATGCTTATAATAGTATGGCTTTAGGTATTTTGTTCGTAGAGTCGTATAAACAGGACAGATTAGAAGAAAATGTAGTTCATCCTCAACAGTACACATATTACATAACTGACATATTCTGTTTTCTCTTTGTATACCTGCATACCTGCCAGTTTCAATAAATAATTCATTGGAAGAGCAACGAAAACGAGAGGGAGCTATACGGAACTTCTTTACGCCGATTTTTGCTAAATAGTCTTCAAAACGTATGTCCGATTTCCATTGATTATAGTATAAACATTTTGTGGATAGAAGTAGTGATTCCGACCAAGACTGGAAATAGATATCTTTCATTCTTTGTGTAAATGATATGATAAAACTGGTATGCAACTGAACACTGTGATCACACCACACATAACCATAACCAGTTTTGTACAACAACTCCCTAATATCACTCACCCAATTCCTTTTCCCATTTTCGTCATACAATTTCATCATATCATAACATTTTTTCGGAAACCTATGGCATGGCATATGCAGTAATCTTACCGAATACTTTATGGCTTTAATGGAAGAGTATATAAACAAGGGGAATCTACCTAATTCTCCGTAAACCATCCTATTACATGTGTTCGGTTTTACACCAAGAAACTTTTTGCATGCACATAAATGAACTCTTTCAATACTGTCATATTGTTGTAATCCCCATATTTCAGAGCCATATAGAAGTATTGGACTTATCTGCATATCGAATATTTTAAAGAATGTGTTAAAGGACATTTCACCCAACGATCTCATATTTTTACAAACACCGATTAGGATTTTCAAGGCTTGTGCTGACGCTTGTTTTGTGTGTTTGGACCAGGAAAGGCTATTACAAAAATATATACACCAAGATACTTATAAACACTGGTAGTTTTGAGTAGTTGCCCTTTATAATACCATTTTTCTAATTTAGAGAGCTTTCCACCTTTCTTAAAGACGATAATTTTGGTTTTGTCTCTGTTTACACACAATTTATATTGGTCAGAAAATTTGTCTAATTCATCTATTTGTTTCTGTAAACCGCTAACAGTACTAGAGAATAGTAGAATATCATCGGCAAAGAGTAGCAGAAATAGTTGTATTGTATCTGGGTGTAGTTGAATCCCATTCGTACATGTGTCACATATTTGTATTGCTAATTCATTAATGAAAAACGTAAAAAGGAAAGGGCTTAAAATACAGCCTTGTCTAACACCTAGTTCACTTATGAAAGGTTCAGATAATTCATGCTGATTCCTTACACACACTTTAACATTTTCGTATATACTCTTCAACATTTTATTCATTTTACTACTAAGACCATGCGATTGTAGAAGTCTCCATAGTTTATCCCGCTGCACAGAATCGAAAGCCTTTGCAAAATCAACGAATAGTGCGTAGAACTTTCCACCTTTTGAGCTGAGGTATCTTTGTATTAGGCTATACAGTATAAAGATATTATCTGTTGTTGTATATCCCTCCCTAAAGCCCGCTTGACCCTCGTATATCTGATCCATGACGTCAGTCCATTTAACTAATCTTTTGTTGATAATGTAAATAAATAACTTGCCAAATATACTAAGTACAGTTATTCCACGGTAGTTATTGGTATCTTTAGGGTCTCCCAGTTTATAGACTGGAACAAGAATGCCACCTGACCAAGATTCAGGAAAGTTCCCAGTGTCGAGGATAATATTGAAAATAAGCTCAAGATATGGAAGTAAAAGATCAGATGAATGTTTGAAAAATTCCGGGAGGATGTTGTCTAATCCTGGTGACTTATTACACTTTAGATGTTGTATACTGTTAAGTATTTCATCTCTACTTATTGGGGCATCCAATATGTCGGAGGCTACACCTGTAATATGAGTAGACTCAGTATCGTTCACATAGTCTTGTCTATTTGGATCTGGGTTGTTATCAGAGGTAGAGAATAATGACTGAAAGTAATTGAACCATTCGTCGATTTCAATGTTATTATTTTGGCTTTTCTTAGGATTTAGTGTTTTAAGTTCATACCAGAATTTTTTGACATCATTTATATTATTTTCTAGCTTTTTTCTTTTCTGTTCCATAAATGCCTTTCTCTTTTCCTTGCAGGTTGTATTATATCTGTTTCTAGCTTTGTGATATCTCCCCAGGGATTGCAAGGTTTTATCTTTTCGGAAGGAGTTAAGACATTTACACCGGTTTTTTTTTAAATGATTACAATCTTCATCATACCAGATATTCGTATTATGTTTTTCTGAAAAGGGGCGTATCCGTCTTTTCATATCAAAAGCAGCTAGACACAATGCTTCTACGACATAATCTACACATTGACTTATATCAGTGAATGCTACATCAACAGATTTATCAAATAAGTCTTGTATATCATCCGATAGTAGATTATTTCTGAATTGCAACAACATCTTGCTATTCCAAACAAATTTGTATGCTTCATGATCAGATTTATATTTACCACTCATAGTCTTTGGCTGTACTGGTGGGTGATGCGCACGTAAATCTAAGGTTAACGGGAGGTGAGAGGACTCTGCTTTAGTAGGTATAGCAAAATCTAGCACTTTGTCAAATAAATGTGCAGAAGCTAAGACATAGTCTATGACGCTTGTGCCATTTGTACCTATAAATGTAAAATCCCCTAATTTAAAATCTTTACCACATCTGCCATTCACAATATGTATATTTAAAATGCTACATAAATCTAAGAGGCATCTACCGAAATGGTTGACGACTTTGTCACAGGAGAACCGTTCCAGGTTAAAATGATCCAATATGAAATCCCACATGGAATGATCTTTACTTTCCGTATGATATATTTATGTCATCATCAACAAAGTCGGGAAGCGTAGCTGTCCGAGCATTAAAATCACCCCCACAAAGCAAGTATATATCTGGTAGATCAGACATTTTATCCAACAGTTTCTCCTGGAAAAGTGAAATACCATTTATACAATGTCCACTAAATTTCTCATACCAAGAGGATCCCTCTGGTTGTATATACACACAGCTATATAAAAGATCTCTATCGATGTCAAACAGTGACTTCTCAATCAATATAAAAACTGCATTTTCTGTGATCTCAGTACATTTGATATATTTAGTTAGTGTATTTCTTACCATTACAGTTATTCCACCAGAGAGTCTCCCAGTTGAGGCTATCTTATCTCCATCTTTATTCAAACAGGCAAAATCTGTAAATACGTCATTTGCACAATGATCATTACTCCAAGTCTCTGTTAAACCAATGATATCAAACGATTTGATAAAGTTAACAAAGTCGATGTCATGAAGTTTCTGAGTATGAATTTTATGTTTTTAATACAGTCTTTCGTGTTGTTTACAATGTCATTCTCGTCCTCTTGAAGTGTCCTACAATCACACACCCCGGATCGCACACTAGATTGCGTCCTAGATTGCACATTTGGTCGGCCCGTGCCACACCCCTAGCGCGACTGACCCCGAGTCCCAGCACGGTAGGTAGATCTCAGTGGTCGCGACCTACTTTGGGTAGGAATTTGTCCTCGGTCCTCGGTTGGGTCGACACTTCGCGAGCTATCTGTTTCCCTAGCTTCGCGCACAAGCTGGTTCCCCTTGAAGTAGAATCTGGTTTCCGGGTTCTGGGTTCGAAGCCTGCTAAGCTCACTTCTCTGTGATTTCGTCAGATCGTTAGCAATTCCGTAACCTCGCTCCTTCAGGACAGTTCTCAGCTTGACGGAGTGCCATTTGTCTTCCCAGTGACACATTCTGGCAATGATAGGCCTTGTCTTGTTGGGATCGTAAGACGATAGCCTGTGGGCCCGTTCTACATTCCTAGGGACTAGATCGGGTAACTTCTTTGTCTCCCGTGCACTGTTAATTATATCCAGTACTTTCCTTTTGCTCTCTGTGTAGGTTTCGTTCCTGCTGTCGGATACACCATACAGAATCATATTGTTTCTACGATTTCGTCTCTCTTGATCCTCTATTCTATCCTTGATCTTTGTCACACGGTGTTCTATTATGTCTGTCTTTTCATTGATAGAGTCGATATCAAGCCTTAGTACTTCCTGCTCCTGTTTGTTTATCAAAAGGTCATTCTGTATGTCCGACATCTCTACCTTCAATGATTTTATGTCCTCCTTTACCGAATTGACATCTTTTGACAATCTGTCCTCCGAGTCTCTTATCTGTTTAATAATCTCTGCTTTCATGTCCTCTAGTTCCCTACTGGGAGGCCCATGGCCCAAAATAGTCCTCATTCTTCATTCTTCAAATGACTCTATGGCTAAATCTACACCCTTCTCTAAGACATTTATGAAATTGTCTAAATGGAAACCTATATCTGACATATTTTCAATGAAAAGGATCATTATCCCATCTATACCTGAATGTACTTGCACTCAAATCTTTAGTTACCAGTTTTTCACCTCAGTGAATCTAAGGATCAAAGGCATGTGTTTACTCTGTATTCTATCTCCTACATCGAAGTTCGAGAAATACTTGAACAGTCCAGGTGATGATATATCGTAATTAATTAAACTACAACTTTGTTCGGAAGCATAAATATATAGAACGTCATACTAGTGCATTTGGATGTTTTGTATTGAACGAGAGGGTGTCATGGGAGCAGAGAAACAACGAGTTCGAAGAACGAGTTGATTTTCTGGTCCCATGACATCTTCTCGTTCAATACAAAACATCCAAATGAGCTAGTATGACGTTCTTTATTTATTATATACCCTCTTATCTTGCATAAATCTGATACTTAATAAAATAAATCATAGCTTTGGAGAAAGAAGAACCGGCAGGGGTAAAATACCGAATCTAGAGTGCAATACGGAATTTGACCACATCATCCGTGTTGCACCCCCTGTGTTATCATCCTAAGTTTACATGGGTAAACAATAAGTAAACATTCATCCCGTATCTCCTTCAGACCGGCCATTTAAGATATACAAGTTGAAAACGTAACACGTTTAACAGAAATTTACCAAATCTGTTTACACAGGTGTCATTTGAAAATCTAGCATTTACAGGAACCGATTCATCCTCAGCACAGAAGTCATCAAAGTTTTCACTCTGCATATTTGGGGATTGATTTCCAGTCCCAACCCGAGCATTTAAACCTCCACACACAAGTATGTAACAATCTGTTAGATAAGCTCAATTATCTAATAACCACTGTTCTAACTTCTCGAACAGACTAGCGCTTCCTGTGACTTTATAGTAAGAAGATCCCTCTAAGGGAGCGCATGCTACTCGACTCTTTGCGGATACCAGCCTACTGGAAGTAAAACATCACGATCTGTGTCTGTAAGTCACGTATCTAATCGGATACAAACTGTGTTATAAATATCAATAGGAACCCTCGAACAGAATTTTAGAAATGTTTTTCTTAGAAATACATTAAATACGTCCCGATTTGGTATTTAGCAAGTTTTATGACAGTACAAAAATAAACTTCAAACTTCAAATGTCTCTTGCAGGTATATGAAATCAAACTGGAGTAGATAATGGAAAAAGTCACTGTCATCAAATTTATTTAACAAGCCGTCAATTTTCCAAGTAAGAATCGAGAACGTCGCGAATTGACGAGAAGAAAATTGACTGGCTAAATCAGAATCAAGTGGAACGTTCACATTCTCACAGCTCGAAGTTCGCGATGAAGCCCGGTCGCATTCATATTGTGAATTACATCCCTTGCTTGATCGTACGATTGCGTGGGGTGTCGAAGAGCACGTAAAATTATATATATGCGCAAAGGTCTTTTTCCCGATGTTTGGTTGATTTCCCTCTGCATCCGATTTGTCCACAGTAACAGTCCTGTTCAACTGAACAGCACCACGAGATTCCGCACTGGCTAGTTCGGAGTGTGGTACTCTGGGTTTAGTGATGAGACGCTCGTTCTTAAAGTATGCAATAAGTCCCTTGTCCCTTTGCTCAGTCAGAATATTACGTTGACGTTTAGTCAGGTCATTTGATAGCACAACTCTGGAATGTAGACCTCTGAGTTAGCACTGACACTTTGTCCTCTGTCAACGTAAACTTCGGGATCAGTGGGCGTGGGCGACGAGTGCTACCTTGTCTTTCCATGCGATGCGCCCTTTATGATGTCTCATCGACGCCAGGTGCGGTGTTGTGTGTCAATGTTTAGGGTCATATGACAAGATCTTTACAAGAATCATAGGATCATGCTCACTCTTCTGTATGTTATAAAACACCACATTATCTCTTCGGCTGTGTGTCTCTAACTTGTGTAGGTCGTCGGCCTGCATATCTAGCCTGCATTCCACTGATCCAGCGTGGATGTGATTGCATCACTGTAAACAATTTCCTGCTTGTGTTCAATTCTGTTCACACCATTACAATGATTTTCACAGCACTGTCCAACTGGTCAAATGTTGTGTGCACACCCCTCTCTACTCCGCTCCTATTCACTCTCTCTCTTCCTCTCCCTCTCCACTCCTCTTCACTCTCCTCTCTCTCTTCTTCACTCCCTCTCTACCTCTTCCTCCTTTCACTCTCCTCTCTCTACCTCTTCCTTCACTTCCCCTCTCCTCTCTTCCTCCGATCCTCTTCATCTTCTCTTCATTCCTTCCTCTTCCTCTCCTCTCTTCCTCTCTCCTCTCTCTACTCCCTCTTCCTATCCACTCCCTTCTCTCTCTCGCTCCTCTTCACTCCCTCTCTACTCCTCTTCACTCCCTCTCTCTTCTCCTATCCTCTTCTCCCTCTCTTCTCTCTACTCCGCTCCTCTTCACTCCTCTCCTCTCTTCCTCTTCCTCTCCTCTCCTCTCTCGTCCTCTTCCTCCCCTCTCTACTCCGATCCTCTTCCTCCCCCTCTCATCTCTTCCTCCCCGCTCCTCTTCACTCCTCCTCTCACTCCGATCCTCTTCTTCTTCCTCTCTACTCCTTCCTCTCTTCCTCCCCTCCTCTCCGCTCCTCTTCACTCTCCTCTGCTCCCTCTCCTCTTCTCTCTCCTCTGATCCTCTTCACTCCCCTCTCTCTCCTCTCCTCTTCCTCTCCTCTCTCTACTCCCTTCCTCTCCCTCTACTCCGCTCCTCTTCACTCCCTCTCCTCCTCTTCCTCTCCTCTCTACTCCGCTCCTCTTCCTCTTCCTCTCTTCCTCCTCTTCCTCCCTCTTCTCCTCCGCTCCTCTTCCTCTCTCCTCTCTACCTCCTCCTCCTCTTCACTCCCCCTCTCTACTCCGCTCCTCTTCCTCCCCTCTCTACTCCTCTTCATCCACTCCTCTCCACTCCTCTTCACTCCTCTCTCCACTGCCTCCTCTTCACTCCTCCTCTCTCCTCCTCTTCACTCCCCTCTCCTCGTCTTCTTCACTCCCCTCTCTACTCCTCTTCCTCTCCTCTCCTCTCTCCTCCTCTTCACTCCTCCTCTTCCTCTTCTTCCTGTTCCTCTCTTCCCCCTCTCCTTTCGTCTTCACTCCTCCTCCCTCTCCACCTCCTCTTCACTCTCCCCCTCACTTCTTCTCTTCACTCACTCCCCTCTCTCTTCTTCACCCACTCCGTCTACACTCCTTCTTTTCACTCTCTCCACTCACTTCATCTCTTCACTCCTCCCTCTCTCCTCGTCTTCACCCACTCCTTCCTCACCTCCTTCTTTTCCTCTCCCTCACTTCATCTCTTCCTCTCACTCCCTCTCTCCTCATCTTCACTCACTCCCTCTCCTCTCCTCTTCACTCCTCCCCTCCTCTCCACTCCTCCCATCTCTACTCCTCCCTCCCTCCACTCCCCTGTCTCCTCGTCTTCACTCCTCCCTCTCTTCCTCCTCTTCCTCCTCCCCTCTCCTCCTCTTCCTCCTCCCTCTCTAATCCTCCTCCGGTCCTCTCTCTCTCCTCGTCTTCCTCTCTCCCTCTCCACTCCTCTTTACTCCTCCTCTCTTCTCCTCTTCACTCACTCCCCTCTCTACTCCTCCTCACTCACTCCCCTGTCTCCTCGTCTTCACTCACTCCCGTCACCACTCCTCTTCACTCACTCCCCTTTCTACTCCTCCTCACTCACTCCCCTATCTCCTCGCCTTTATATGATAGTGCATTTATCAAGCACTTGTTTGGGTACAGATGCAAGTACCTTTATATGATAGTGCATTTATCAAGCACTTGTTTGGGTACAGATGCTAGTACCTCTATATGACAGTGCATTTATCAAGCACTTGTTTGGGTACAGATACTAGTACCTTATATGATAGTGCATTTATCAAGCACTTGTTTGGGTACAGATGCTAGTACCTTTATATGATAGTGCATTTATCAAGCACTTGTTTGGGTACAGATGCTAGTACCTCTATATGACTGCATTTATCAAGCACTTGTTTGGGTACAGATGCTAGTACCTTTATGTGATAGTGCATTTATCAAGCACTTGTTTGGGTACAGATGCTAGTACCTCTATATGACAGTGCATTTATCAATCACTTGTTTGGGTACAGATGCTAGTACCTTTATCAAGTACCTGTTTCGATACATAAGTTACTACTTTCATCAAACACATATATCAGCTGACAGATTAACACCCTGTGATAGAGTTAACTAATATACGCTACTGTTTGACACATGAAGACATGTCCATGATCCAGTCGGAACGTACGACTGACTCGGCTTGCAGCATTTCAGAGATTTCTTGTACGACTGAAAATGGCGGCTTTGTCGCTTTGTATATCATTATTGTTGGTTTCATCTTCTATTGACTTCTAGAGTGTGTTTCCATGCTCTTGTAAAATTGTTTGTTTTTTGCTTGTTTGTTTATCGTTTAACACCGCACTCAGCAACATTCTAGATATATGGCGGGGGTCTGAAAGTAATCGAGTCTGGACTAGACAATCTAGTGACTGACATCAGGAGCATCGAGTTACGATGGGTTACGATAACATTTGTCTATCAATTCAGCGAGCCTGACCACCCGATCCTGTTAGTCGCCTCTGACGACAAGAATGGGTTGCTGAAGACAATTCCAACAATATATAGCTGGAATATTGCTAAGTGCGGCGAAACAACTAACACAATTCATAATAAACTCGCTGAAAATTCATTGCACAATTTATTTCGTGTAATTAACATATGATTTCATACATTTTCAAAAATGGATTCTGGTAGTCCTTTGGGCGTGAGTTGGTCTGTGTGATGTTTATCGCTGGAACATAAAGGAAATCAGTGGAGTGATATATATGTATATGATTAAAATGCATTTCATAAGAAAGAGGATACACATCGAGTAATCAACAGCATGAACATCGATCTACGTAATTGGGATACGATGACATGTATCAACCAAGTCATCGAGCCTGACCATCCGATCCCGTTAGTCGCCTATTGCGACAAGCATGGGTTACTGAAGACCAATTCTAACCCGGATCTTCACGGGTCAGGTAACTTGAATGTTGCAAAAGTTCAAGGCCTAATTCTCAGACAGCAGCACAGCGAGTTATTAAATATTTGGAACACTTAAGTAACAGACAGTGATGCACAGGGGCGGTGGGGTAGTCTAGTGGTTAAAGCGTTGGCTCGTCACGCCGAAGACCCGGGTTCAAACCCCCACATGGGTACAATGAGTGAAGCCCATTTCTGGTGTCCCCCGCCGTGATATTGCTGGAATATTGCTAAAAGCGGCGTAAAACCAAACTCAGTCAGTCAGTGATGCACAACACTGTCAGTTAGTTGTGTCAGTAATTATCAGAATAACGAAGTTCTCTAATAGTTACAGTTACTTTTTGTCCGACAGCAGCATAATCCAGTTATTTAACTGTCAGCTCTAATTAAGAAACGATGACATAACCTTGTTATTCAAGTTTTAACCAAATTTCAGTAAGGAGGATAATCGAGTTATTCAACAATGCTATTAGCAAGACACCAAAGTAACCGAAATATTTCATATTTTCATCGCCATTTGTCAAAAAGTTGTGATGCACAATGACGCTTCTTGATAACCTTCATTAACCCTGTACATATACTCTCCCCAAAAGAAACGCATAGGTAATACTGATACATGAAAAGAATTAAGGTGTGATAATAATTTTTGCTGGTTTGTAATGCTGGTTTGTGTACATGGAACGAATGCACAGCGCAAAAACGCATCTACGGAAACTTGAATGCACGTTTACGCTCGAAAGTGTCATAGAGCAAAAATGGTTCGCTATATGCAAGTGCAGTTATGAGGAATCGTGAGCAGGGACACTGCCTATATAAGGCCGTTTTGCTCTTAGACGATCAATGGCATTTTAGCCAAATGAAAGAATATCGTTATGCCGCTACTCACTGCTGTAAACATTACCGTTGGACGTCTGCAGGCTAGGGAATCTCAAAATTCCCCACCATCAAGGCCGTCAGTAATTTCGCCATCACTACCGTCGCCACTATCGCCGCCGCTACCACTACCGTCGCCACTATCATCGCCGCTACCGTCGCCACTATCATCGCCGCTATCGTCGCCACCACTACCGTCGCAACTATCGTCGCCGCTACCACTACCGTCGCCACTATCGTCGCCGCTACCACTACCGTCGCCACTATCGTCGCCGCTACCACTACCGTCGCCACTATCGTCGCCGCTACCACTACCGTCGCCACTATCGTCGCCGCTACCACTACCGTCGCCACTATCATCGCCGCTACCGTCGCCGCTTTGTCCCCAGCCGCGTCTCCGCCCATATCTCCAACCTCTTCGTCTCGAAATTATGCGTCCCCAACCGCGTCCTTGCCGACGTGATCCTCTGCGTCTCTGTCCCCACTTTCGGAATACGGATCCAAATCTTCTGTTTCCCAAACTGATACCGGTTCTTCTTCCGTAGGTGCTCCCTCTTCTTCTTCCCAATCCAACTCTGCTTCTGCCTCCACTTGTCCTTACGAAGGTGCTCCCAGTTCTCCCTCGGTAGGTCCTGGCAATTCTGCGTCCCCATCCAACGACGTTACTTCTGCTATATCTTACGTGTCTTGATTCAATGTTCTTTTCGACTTCGTTTGTATCAGCTTCAGCCTGAACAAAAACAAAAGGTGACGGGGTTACGACTGCTATGCTGTGAAGTACATCTTTATACGATCACACTGCCATGTCTCTAACTCGACACACAGACTAGAGATTCGTTATGGATGGATTGCAGTATAAACTGCCGGGCAAAAGAAAGTTATTACCGACTTCACTTGACTAAAGAAAAAGAAACAAAGATGTATGTGAGTTTATGATACTTCTTTTACAAATAGATATAATTTACCAATAAATGACTGAAAATACATTATAATGCTGGTCTTGTATTTGTCGCAATTCGTTAAGAGTGAGTGAGTGAGTTTAGTTTTACGCCGCACGCAGCAATATTCTAGGTATATGGCGGCGGTCTGTATATAATCGAGTCTGGAACAGACAATCGAGTGATCAACAGCATGAGCATCGATCTGCGCAATTGGGAACCGATGACATGTGTTAACCAAGTCAGCAAGCCTGACCACCCGATCCCGTTAGACGCCTCTTACGACAAGCGCATGGGTTACTGAAGATCAATACTTAACCCGGACCTTCACGGGTCAATTCACTAAGTAAGAGTCAGGGGTCAAACAGTAAAAATTGCACAAAGTTCAAGCAAAAAAAGAAAGTGCATATCACCACACACACACACACACGCACTCACGCACACGCACCAACTTTACGCCAACATCCCTCCCATCCACTACCTGACTTTGCTTTGGTTATAACCGTGCCGGACATTTTCCTTCACACTTGCAATGCTATCATTTTAGATTGCTGTACATTTATTGAATATGCTGTGTCCTTGATAGGTTTCAGAAACGTTATATGGAATAGGGCTTACCGGTACTTCAGCATCTTTCTTGGATAACCGAGTCTGGTCGTCAACACCTTCACCCGCTACAGCCTCCGCTGTGCATCCTGGAAGGATGAGGAGTAGGCAGATGAAGACAACTGGGGTCTTCATGGCAACAGATCTGAAGCAAAAACGCGTCAGCTGATAATAAAAGCGACTAAATCAATTTCCCATTGTCATAAGAAATCTCGTCCATTGTATTGTGGGTGAAATACGAGTGTGTTCCTTTCAGCAAATAGTGAAAGAAATATAGTATCCTGCCCCACACGTCACAACACATGCAAAGGCAAGTCAAATCTTCGGGTGAACAATTACGGTAAACATATGCTTCAAGTAAAATACAACAATCTAACAGTGAAAACAGACATAACGGCATCAGTGATTCTGGGACTGGAGGCCTTTCTCATTTGTCATGATTACGTCCTCAGAACTATTATATAGAGGCGGGGGGGTAGTTTTGTGGTTAAAATGTTCCCTGTCGCGCCGGTTTCTGGTGTCCCCTGCCGTGATAATGCTGGAATATGGCTAAAAGCGGCGCAAAACCCAACTCACTCACTCACTTAGAACCATTCATTGTGTATACCGTGCACCTTATATCACAAAATGTATTCGGCTCATTCCGCTAACTTCATAATATCACGGACAGCAAATGAGTGGTTACATAGAGAATACTACACGAGGTCTCATTACATTCGAATTATACGAAACGCGTGTCCTTCCTATGGTATCTGACCGAGCGAAAGCGAGGTCAGATACCATAGGAAGGTCACGAGTTTCGTATAATTCGTATGTAATGAGACCGAGTGTGGTATTTTATTTATTACCCACGTCTTACATGCATTAAATTGACCAAATAGCGTATTTTTGTTATTTTTTTGGTTTCAAACCGAAACCGGTTTCATAAAGAGGTTGCGGAAGAGTTTTCTACTGTAGTACAATATTTGCATGACGTCACACTGTAATGACGTCACTGCCTTGGTAACCGATGTCAGGATGCATGTCAGTTGTCATCGCCTCGTACAGCCTCGTACAGTAAACTACTCCGTAGCACCCCGTTTCTTGGTTTCCAGTTGCTTCATTCGGTGGTGGAAACATTGCGTTTATGTTTTTCGACGGATATAATGTCTCAGTTCGACTCACAATTAATCAGCGTCACGGCAACGTTCGCAATGTTTACATTCCCACAATGCATTTAAGTTGTAGAATGAATGAATTCACGTGTTTGTTATGAATGAAAAAATAGTTACGTCAGAATGTGACCTAATTAAGACGTCATCGGTTATCCAATCAAATCGTTAGAATCTCAGGTCAAGTCGTTACGACACAGGTCAACGGGATACGACACTCGTGTGACGTACGAGATTAGTATGCAACTACCCATACGTTGACCACGTGGGTAATAAATTTTAATCAACCTTGATCCCAACAAATTTAGAACGGAAGCCTAGCCGACAAGTCAGTCTTGTCATGGTAGAATATGTGGATGCTCAGTGTAGCAGCTACATCTAAATACAAATGACCGGTGACATTTTCAAATGGAGATGCCCTTCAAGTATTGACGTTACATCACTATATCAGTTTCAGTTTTTACTAACATTCATCTTTTATTATACATTTTAACTAAAATATAAACAAGCCTCATTTCGATCTTTCTGAATTTAAATACCGAATAAACTCAGTTACGCCTGTAAATACACTAAACGCCAAAAGAAACGTTACCCTCCTACCTTTATGAATTATTTAAAAACTATCAAAGATATGCTGGAAAGTATTAGTTTGCAAGTAAGCTCAACAACAAATAAATTCTCAAATGCATTCATATTTAGGTAAAATGCATCTTTTTCAGAAGAGTTAAATTGTCCCATGTTCGTACATGCCAAAATAAACAAATAATAGTGATTTAGATGTCCAAAAGAAAGGTTGGAATAAAATCTGATTTGGGACAATGATCAACCATTTAATATCACCATTTTTTAACTATTAAAAGAAACAATTTTCTGTTGTAGAGTGTGTAAAATTGCAAAGTAATCACTCCTATAATTTCAAGTAAAACGTGACTTTGATATTGAGAAAAAACGTTTAGGAATATCTAAAATAATCTTTGTTAACATTTTTGCTTGCAAAGTAACATTTATCCATTTTCTGTTTACACATAGCAATATCAATCGCCAAAACGCAGAAATATTCAAGCAGTATTTGCATCCATTTCACAAGCAGAATGATTCTATAGGGTATGAAGAGAACCTAGAATACATGATATGATACACAAGTACGAGAAATATGCCACGATTGACAGCTGAAGAGAGAGAAAGAGCCATTGGGATAGTGCAGATGGGGTCGGCATACAATGCTGTTGCCAACGCCCTCGGATGTCACCGTATCACTGTTATATTACTTTTTCAGGGCTTCAGACAGACTGGGGTCACCGTAGACAGACCAAGAAGTAGACGTCACGCGTCACAAAGCCAGCTGAGGATAGGTACCTCCGTCATTAAGGAAGGAGGGTAACGTTTCTTTTGGCGTTTAGTGTATTTCAAGCACCTCATCTGGATTTCCATTCCTTTCGCAATTACAAGCCAAAGGTAAACCATCTGCACAAGTTAGTTCACCCAGACAAGGGACGATTACAATATATACTTTCGATAGAATACTTTCAAATACATTTCAGAAGGAATACTTGCAGTATATATCCATTGGAAGAGGTACCATTAATATATACTTTAAAAACAAAAATTTAACCATACACTTTAGAACTGAAGATTGCAATTTATATGTTAGAAGAATACTTGTAATTTATACTTTCGATGAATATTTGTAATATTTGCTTTAGAAGAATACTTATAATATATACTTTGGAAAAAAGAAGTTCAGTGTATACTTCAGAAACATAATAGTAGTATATACTTCAGAAAAATAATTTCAATTTATCATCTAATGGAGGTTGTTATCGGTGCAATAAAGCATTCTGATAAACTTGGTATCCAAATCTGATAACTATGCTAATTACGTCAATCCACGAACTACTTTCATAAAATGCCATACACGCCATGCGAATCCTAAAACGTTTTTAACATTTCATTGATGACGTCGTCACGAGTTTACATTGTTTGTAAACAAACATGGCTGCCCCCATACTCAAAATTGGTGATTCTGTAAGAATTGATGACAGAGGTTCTGGAGTCGTTACTGCAGCAATTGACTTTGGAAAACATGAAACGGAGTACTTCGTTCGGATTATGAGGCACGACTGAAAGGCAATCTTCTAACAAAGGTAACAACCAAGGATTTCGATCTATAGATCACAATACAGACGACGAATCGATTCCGTCAGGTATCAGAAACTGATATAGATGAGACGATTACCCGCAATGAAAATAGAAACACTGCCAAAAGAACGCTGCCCGATTTTGTTGTTTCTTTTAGACAGAAAGTTCTCATTTTAAATATGAGTTACGTTTGCACTATATTAGCAACTAGTCAGAACCATATGCCGCCGTCATGAACGACCTTCACCTTAGTGTACCGCTAAGTATTCTTACGCGAATGCTCGATTCTCTTCATATAAATTCACATACGATTTGCTTCTTTCTTTTAGAGTAATTTTAAGAATGACATTATATTATAAAGAACTATTAACCTCGTGTGTTTCCGTATCATAAATGATCCGGAAACACACGAGGTTAGTAATGTCTGTATATACTTAGGTGGAATACATGCAATATATACTACAAGAAAGGATGCTTGTAATATAGTATGACCAGAAATTATTGAGAATTTTAGGAATATGTTTAAATGGATTTATATTAATTTATAAACAAGCTTGACCAGCTATCAAGTGTTTGATTTCATTCAAGAGAAACAACTCCGTTAATCTTTTTTTCATTAGTTTGTGAAGAGTTATCCCCCTTTCTTTACTTGCTAGCAGACGACATTTTCAGTGATCCTCAGTATGGATGATATAGAGAAGAGGAAGTTGATTTTAGAGTATTATAACAAGGACATCAGATCAGCTAAAGTGATTTCAAGTAGAACAGGCATCCCTTTGTCCACTGTTTATCGTGTTTTGAAAAATATTGCAAATGGATATGGCAGGGAGGCGTAGGTAGGCCCAGAAAACTGACTGTCGGTAACGAGAGGCTTGGTATTCTTGTTTCTTAAAACAAACGAAGGAGTTTAGAAAACTTAAGGCTGGATATGATTGATAGAGGAACTGTGGCTGTCTGTAAGGAGACAATTAGAACTGAGCTGCATGCAGTGGGTTGGCAGAAAAGTCGAGGAATTCCATCACCGATCATGAAACCTGAATAAATGGAGCGAAGGTTGAACTGGTGCTTACAGCATAGAAATTTTAACTGGGACAATGTGATTTTCTCAGATGAATGTTCTGTTTGGCTGTTTCCTAATACACTGAAATTCTGGATCAAACAAACTGAAAAACCTTTGTATCAGCGCCCAAAGTACAGTCCGAAATTTAACGTGTGGAGTGGCATATCTGTGTAGGGGCAACGCCCCTCTGTGTATTTGGGGGGAATATGAACAGTGAGCGGTACACAGATATTCTCGAGGGACATTTACTTCCATCTGCTCACTTGTTCTATGGAATTTTTTGGATTTTCCAGCAGGACAACGACCCAAAACATCGTTCAAAGCATTCACAGGCCTGGTTTCGGACCCAAAATGTGACATTATTAGATTGGCCAAGCTATAGCCCTGAACTAAATCCAATAGAAAATGTTGGGGGACTTATGAAGGAAAGTGTCAATAAGAAAAATCTGACAAATACTGCTGAAATGAAAGAAGAGATGGTCCGATATTGGGACAGCATGGACCACGACTTTCTAACTTCTTTGATCAGTAGTATGCCCCGCCACATTGAAGCCTGCATTGCTGCCCATGGTGACAAAATACTGACTGTTCACCTGTCTTTGAATCTGGAGTTATGTTCTGTTAACATTCACATTTAATACGAGAGTAATGAGTGAAATATAAAAAATTACAATCCTTAAATTCTCAATAATTCTGTTTGTACTGTATACACCTAAGACGGAGTTTCTTAAGAAGAAACTATAACCTCAAAAGTTAAAATCAAATTGTATGAAATTCAGTTAAAACTATACGTTTTGGTGCGACGAAAACAAACTATAGATCTGTTGCCAGCCTTAGTTACCTGTACTCCCCAAGAAGTCGATAACGTACCTGGATGGTTGAGTTGTTTGATGTCTTAACTATCAGTGTCCAGGTGTTGACGAGGATCTGCATGGCTGCCACCCTTGATATAGCAGCTCGATTTGAAAGGAACGCATCTCACTGAAGTTGTAAATTAGAAGCTTCGGATATGTCTGAAGTAGGTATAGAGTGTTTGGATGGGTTTATTTTTAAAATGTGGTTATGAATATTCAAATATATAGATATGACTATATTCTTAGAAAACAGAGATAACTTAGTAGCAAAAACAGGCGACATCTAGTGCGACAATTCAACAGAAACGTGAGGCCATAGAAAGAAGAAGTGACATGGTCTCGCACACTGAAAGGGAACGTATGTACGTACACAGGTATCTGCACACGTACACGGGCGAACCTGTTTACATACTCAGTGGGAACACATACACATACATACGCACATATGTACACAGGTGAACCTGTATACCTACTCAGAGGGAACATATTTAGTACATTTACGCACATAGGAATCTGCACACGTACACAGGTGATCCTATACATACCCAAAAAGAACGTATACGTACACAGGGATCTGCACGCGTGGACAGGTAAACCTCTATACATATTCAGAGGAAACATATATACGTACACAGGGATCTGCACACGTACACAGGTGAACCTATACATACCCAAAAGGAACATATACGTACACAGGGATCTGCACGCGTGGACAGGTAAACCTCTATACATATTCAGAGGAAACATATATATATGTACATAGGAATCTGCACACGTACACAGGTGAACTTCTACATATCCAAAAGGAATATATACGTACACAGGGATCTGCACGCGTGGACAGGTAAACCTTTATACATATTCAGAGGAAACATATATACGTACACAGGAATCCGCACACGTACACAGGTGAACCTCTACATACCCAAAAGGAATATATACGTACACAGGGATCTGCACGCGTGGACAGGTAAACCTCTATACATATTCAGAGGAAACATATATATATGTACATAGGAATCTGCACACGTACACAGGTGAACCTCTACATACCCAAAATGAACATATACTTGCACAAGGATCTGCACGCGTGGACAGGTAAACCTCTATACATATTCAGAGGAAACATATATACGTACATAGGAATCTGCACACGTACACAGGTGAACCTCTACATACCCAAAAGGAACATATACATGCACAAGGATCTGCACGCGTGGACAGGTAAACCTCTATACATATTCAGAGGAAACATATATACGTACACAGGAATCTGCGCACGTACATAGGTGAACATCTACATACCCAAAAGGAACATATATGTACACAGGAATCTGCACGCGTGGACAGGTAAACCTCTATACATATTCAGAGGAAACATATATACGTACACAGGAATCTGCACACGTACACAGGTGAACCTATACATACCCAAAAGGAATATACGTACAGGTAAACCTCTATACATATTCAGAGGAAACATATATACGTACATAGGAATCTGCACACGTACACAGGTGACACATACCCAAAAGGAACATATACATGCACAAGGATCTGCACGCGTGGACAGGTAAACCTCTATACATATTCAGAGGAAACATATATACGTACACAGGAATCTGCGCACGTACATAGGTGAACATCTACATACCCAAAAGGAACATATATGTACACAGGAATCTGCACGCGTGGACAGGTAAACCTCTATACATATTCAGAGGAAACATATATACGTACACAGGAATCTGCACACGTACACAGGTGAACCTATACATACCCAAAAGGAATATATACGTACACAGGGATCTGCACGCGTGGACAGGTAAACCTCTATACATATTCAGAGGAAACATATATACGTACATAGGAATCTGCACACGTACACAGGTGAACTTCTACATACCCAAAAGGAATATATACGTACACAGGGATCTGCACGCGTGGACAGGTAAACCTCTATACATATTCAGAGGAAACATATATACGTACACAGGAATCTGCACACGTACACAGGTGAACCTCTTCATACCCAAAAGGAACATATACGTACACAGGAATCTGCACGCGTGGACAGGTAAACCTCTATACATATTCAGAGGAAACATATATACGTACATAGGAATCTGCACACAGGTGAACGTGCACACATATTCAATTGGAACATATATGCGTACACAGGGATCTGAACACGGACATAGGTGAACGTGTAAACATATTTAATGGGAACATATATGCGTACACATGGATCTGCACACGTGCACAGGTGAACCTATGTACATACTCAGGGGGAGCATGAACACGTATAAATTGATCTGCACACGTACACAGGTGAACGTTTATACGTACTTAGAGGGAAGATAAATACGTACATCGGGATGTGCACACGTACACAGGTGAACATGCCTACATACTCTGAGGTCACATATTTACGTACATATTGATCTTCAGACGTACACAGGTGAGCCTGTATCTATACTCAGAGTGAACATATTTACTTACATATTGATCTTCAGACGTACACAGGTGAGCCTGTATCTATACTCAGAGGGAACATATTTACGTACATATTGATCTTCAAACGTACACAGGTGAACATGTATCTATACTCAGAGGAAACGTACATACGTACACAGGAATCTGCACACGTACACAGGTGAACGTTTAAACGTACTCAGAGGGAAGATAAATACGTACATCGGGATGTGCACACGTACACAGGTGAACATGCCTACATACTCTTAAGTAACATATTTACGTACATATTGATCTTCAGACGTACACAGGTGAGCCTGTATCTATACTCAGAGGGAACATATTTACTTACATATTTATCTTCAAACGTACACAGGTGAACATGTATCTATACTCAGAGGAAATGTACATACGTACACAGGGATCTGCACACGTACAGAGGTAAACGTTTATACGTACTCAGAGGGAAGATAAATACGTACATCGGGATGTGCACACGTACACAGGTGAACCTGCATACATACTCGGTGGGAACATATGTACGTATATAGGGATCTGCACACGTGCACAGGTTAAACTCTACATACTCACAAGGAACATATACGTACACAGGAATTTACGCCTACACGGGTGAACCTGTATACGTAATCAGAGGGCACATGTTTACGTACATGCGCACATATGTACCCAGGGGAACCTGTGTATTTACCCAGAGGGACCATTTATACTGACAAAGTAATCTGCACCCGTACACAAATGAACCTGTATACATACTCAGAGGGAACACATATACATACACAGGGATCTACACCCGTACACAGGTGAACCTTTATACATACTCAGAGGGAACATAGATAAGTACATAGGGATCTGCACACGTACACCGATGAACCTGTATATATACTCAGTGGGAACATAGATAAGTACACAGGGATCTGCACACGTACACATATGAATCTGTATGCATACTCGGTGGGAACATATATTTACGCACATAGGCATCTGTACAAGTACACAGGTGAAAGCATACATACTCAGGGGTAACATATATACATGTACGTACATACGTACACACAGGGATCTGCACACGTAGACAGGTGAACCTGTAAACATACTCAGAGGGAACATAGATACGTACACAGGGATTTGCACACGTAGACAGGTGAACCTGTAAACATACTCAGAAGGAACATAGATACGTACACAGGGATCTGCACACGTAGACAGGTGAACCTGTAAACAAACTAAGAGGGGGCATATATGCCGACAGAGGAATTCTGACTTTTCAAATTATTTACGTTGTTGTTTTGAAGGGGTGAATATTGTCAAAACAAAACTTGCTCTGTTCGTCAGTTAACTTAATTTGAGATTAAATATGAACAAATAGGTTTTTGAATCCCCTTTGGGAAAATGCACCTTAAATACAACTAAAAATCGGACAATTACGTTCATCGCCATCTGTTGCCATAAACACTGATTCTATATAAAATCACAAATTACCAAAACCAACGGCTCGAATTAACGAGGCCTGTGAGGCAGGCTCACAAAGACATTACGAACTTCAACGTTTGGAAATAAAAACGTAGCAAACAATCGCATTACATAGATTGCGAGCCACATATAGATAAGTGTAATCTTCTGTGATATATATTCTATAACTTCACATGCGTATCAGAGATTTTATCAACAAATGCGTAATTGATTTACGTAAATAAATTTTATGCAATATTGATTCTGTATGATAACGGCTATATGCTTTATCATTGTCAGCGGAATCATCGTCGCCATTACCACTGCCGCCGCCCCCGCCGTCATTATCATCACATCAATCTCCGCAAATCAGAATTAGCATTAACACAACGTGTGCAATATATGGAGATGTCACGAGCCAGCACTCTAAACCACTTTGATGCTCCAGTGT